ATACTATATAAATCGGTTCTAGAATAGTCTTTTACTAATAGTAGATCAATTTCCATATTTGGTAATATCCGAGACTGAATTAATGAAGCAATCAATTTATACAAATAAATTAATACAGTATAAGCATTAATGAAAGTTTAATTTAAGTAACTTACTATTATACTCAAAGTATCACTAATTATATTATACAATTTTACTTTTATCTATTTAGATCAATGTAGTATTAATCGATAATACAGTATTTATGCAATTGTAATAAATCCAAGGAATTGATAATAATAAATCAAACCTTTTCGTGTGTAATGTTTGATGTATCGCCTAGCCTACCACCAATATATAATATGGACGTATTGTTTAAAAGTACTGCACTATAAGCTTGAATTCCTGTTGGTGGACCAAGATCAGATTCCGTCCAATTTAAATTTAATGTATTCAATTTAATCATAGTAGCTCTATCCCACTTTGCAAGTCCTCCATAGATATATATTATATCTTCTGAAAGAATGTATTGAATAACAGTTGCATTGAAATTTGCTGGTGTAGGTATATTACTCCATGATTTTGTCGTAATATCGTATATGGAACTAAAATTATTTCCAACCATGGCAGGTCCACCAATAAAGATAATTCTATTTTTATTTGATCCATTAATGCAAGCAGTTCCGCTAGTTCTTGTTAATGGACTTGAAGGAAGGCTAGACCAAGGCATTGAAGCTATATCATTTATAGTAAATGATGATGAAACATCGAGGTAAAAAAGATCAGAAAGATGTTCTTTTTCACTGATCCCATCATGGAAATATATTTTATTATCAACAAGAACAGAAGCTGGTTCTTCTCTTGAGGGTAGAATAAATGCATTTGCAGAAATGATAAAAAAAATGTAAAGAAAAATTAACATGATTATGTTCTTGATGTTAACTACGGATTTATATTATATTTTAACACTGGTCCGTATTATTTCACCGACCGATTTATACATAAGGCGGTCGGGTTATAAAAGCTAAATTGTGAAATTTAAATTTTATATATTAATAAAATAAAATAATCTAAATTTTATATGTTAAGAAATTAATTTGTATATGCTAGGTATTAGAAATTTTTTTTAATGAGATTACTTATAA